ACACACACACACACACACACACACACACACTTTAAGTAGCTTCCACACTGGCAGATTTCCATTTGACCTTTTCTAAAGGACTGTAGTGTTGGCTATTCCTCCCCACACTCCCTCCTCTGCCTGCCCTGCCCTCTCCGTCCTCACCTCATTTATCCTTCCTACTCTGTTAGTCCTCTTTCTCCGTTTATATCAATGCATTCTACCTCCCCTCCCAGGAAGCCTCCCCCACGTCAGATAGCCTCCCCCCACCCCCACGTCGGGAAGCCTCCCCCTTGGCCATTTATTTACTAGATTCCTGACTTCTCTAGATTATTAAACTGAAGCACGCATATCTAGGATTTCAAAGCCAACACAGCTATAAGAGAAAATATGTGATATTTGTCTTTCTGGGTCTGGGTTACCCATTTTATCCATTTATTTACAAATTTTGTAATTTTGATTTTTTTAAAGACCTGAATAAGATTCCACTGTGTATATGTAGCACTTTCGTTATGCATTCATCAGTTGAGTGATGAAAAGGGCGGCAACAAACAGGGATAGACAGGTATTTCTACAGTAGGGTACAGAGTCTTTGGCGTATGTGATGCATAGTGGTATGGCTGGATCATTTAGTAGATCAAGTTCAAGTCTTAGTTACTTACTATTTGTATTTTATGTGTATAAGTGAATTGCCTGCATGTATGTAAGTGGACCCATGTTATGCAATGCCCATGGAGGTCAGAAGAGGGTGTTGGATTCCCTGGAACTGGAGCTAAGGACGATTCTTAGCTGCCATGTGAGTGATGGGAACTGAGCCAAGGTTTTCTGTAAGAGCAGCCGGCGCTCTTAATCTTGGAGCCGTCGCTTCAGCACCAATTTCAAGCTTCTTTTTTTTTTGAATCTTCATACTTATTTCCATAGTGGCTGCACCAGTTTTTACTCCCACCAGCAGTGGTTAAGAGTTCCTCTTTCTCCACGTCATCACCAACATGTGTTGTTGTGTTTTGAATCCTAGCTTTTCTGATAAGATGAGGTGAAATCTGAAAGTGATTTTAATTTGGGTATCCCTGATTGACAAAAGATGTTGAATGTTTTTTAAAAATATTTTATTTATCATTTTTATTTTATGTGTATGTATGTATTGCCTGCATGTAGGTAAGTGCACCCATGTCGTGCAATGCCGCAGAGGTCAGAAGAGACTGTCGGATCCCCTGGAACTGGAGTTACAGACAGTTGTTAGCTGCCATGTGGGTGCTGGGATTCGAACCCAGGTCTTCTGCAAGAACAGTCAGTGTTCTTAACTGCTGTGCTATCTCTCCAGCCCAAGGTTGAACATTTTAAAAATATATATTTCTCGGGTAATGAGATGCTGGAGTGCAAGAGTGAAATGGTCCAGTGTGACTTTGGGAGATGATTACAAAGGATACACATTTGACATTGTGGGATCACAGACTGGGAAGCTGTGCCAAATCCATCAGCCCTGTGATTGCAACTGCAAGACACAGATCATATCTCTGGGACCAAGAACCAAGGAGAGCAGAGGTCTACAAAAATACAGTTGTTCCTATCCTAAATTCATGATTTTAAATGGAAGCAAAAAGGTTTATTATACAGTATTTTGGAAACCCGCATTCATTCTTTTCATCCTGTTTTCTTTTAATTGTTGAGATGAGAGGGAGAGAAGGAGGGAGGGAGGGAGATTTTAGCAAGTAGGGCCCGATGGATTTTAAAATGAAGACTATTCATTATACAGTTTAGTTAGGAGATTAAATAATATATGTTTCAGAGTTGAAATAGTTAATTTTTCAGGACTGATTTCCAGAGTTCCCATCCAATAACTCATGCATATTATAATATTTAAATACCCCAAAGTAATTTCACCAGGCAGTGGACCACAGTATGTTTCTGTTTGTTGCTACTCAGAACACACTCTCCAGTACAGTCAGCACCCATGGCTTTTTTCCTATCAAATAGCCATTGTCTGATGTGACAGGGGTTCCTGAACCACAGAGGAGAGCATTGCTGTGAACTGCTGACGCAGGCAGAATGCGGTTCTCAGCAGCCAAAATTCCTGCCTTCAGCTTAGAGCTCTTTGCAGGAAGCCTGCCATCACCCCCACATTTTTGAATAACAGGCGCTCTGTAGTGGGTGATTAAAAATGGAAGGCTTTCTTGTTTTGTTCAACAGGAAGGGAAACGGTGTATGATTTTCGTAATATCTCTCCATAGGCACACTCTTCAGGAATCATGTTGGAATGCCTGCTTATTATTTCTTCAGTATAAAATATGTTGGACTAGTAGACAGTCTAAGACCAAAAGGAGAAAGCACTTTCAAATTTTTGTCTGACTTGTCTGTGATGCAAATTTACCTCAGATATAATTAAAATCCTCTGGGGTGGAGGGTGGGAGAATCTGTCTTATAAAAGTACCACGGATTAATCAAGAAAGAACAGAATCAAACAAGGGTATTCTGTTTTGCCATAAGGCAAGATTAAATAAATAAGGAAGATCCTGGATACGTGATTATTTTACAGCACATTCCTATTCAACACATCAGTGCACACCAGGGAGGGTCTGCCCCACTTGGAGACATTTGCATGAGAGCTGATGGGCCCTGGGCATCATTCACTAAGAAAACAAGGAAGGCATTTATTTCTCTTTGCCACACAGAGGCAAAATGTATTAGCGTTTTGAAATTCTGAAACTGTGAAAAGTGCATGCTTAGAAGTCATCCCTCATTGTGATGGGATAGACGGTTCCAGGGCCCCCTGCAGGTACCAAAATGTGCAGATGCTCGAGTCCCTGATATGAAATGGGATGGTATGAGCCTGCATCCTACACACGTCTTTCTGCTTATTTAAATCACTTCTAGGTTGCTTATAATAGCTATAACAATGGAAATGCTGGGTAAAACCTGTCATATTGTATTGTTTAGAGAATGACAGGAAAGTGGTTTGTACTGTACATGTGCTGTACCGTGTGTTGAAAAACATTTTGTCCTTTAAAATTTTTAGTTTTATTTATTTTTATTGAATTTTTGTGTTTTTCATACAAAATATCTTAATCATCTTTATACCCTCCCCATCCACACCCACCCATACCCCCCCCACACCACCACCAAATTTCATGCATTCTGCCGTTTATGTGAAGGCCTATCGAGTCCAGTTAGTGCCTCCAGACATCCCTCAGTGCAGCTTCATCCACTGGGTCTAGACCTAGTGGACGCCTATCTGGAGTCCCTCCCTTAAAGAAGATCAGCTCTCCTTCTCCCAGCAGGAATCAACTGCCCATAGTGCCACAGCTCTATGCTGGGTTTTTGTCTGCTTGAGTTTGCTGACACAATTGCTGTAGATTCCTATGAGCGGGGTCCCAGGAGCCTGTAAGATGCTATGTTCTTATGGTCACGCACCTCTTCCTTCATTCTTACAATCTTTCCGCCCCTTCTTCTGCAATGGTCCCTGAGCCCCGGCACGGTGAAGTTTAATATAGGATTCCTGTCCAGAGACCCACTCTCGGTAGACTCATTCTCTACACTTTGGCCATTTGTGGCCTTTTGTGATTATGTCCCTCTGTTGCATGAGGGAGCTTCCTTGATGAGAGCTGAGAGATGCATTTGTGTCCGCCACATCCCTTATTCTGCCTTGCTCCTTGAGCCTGAGGTGTCGAGGTTCCATTGTAGATGTGTCACTTAGGGTTGGACATGTCACAGACACTTGTTTTCTGTGTGTGACCAGTACTGGAACTCAGTAATAATCTCTGTTAGTATTATTATTAATTATTATTATTATTACTATTGAAAAAGAAGCTTCTTTGATGAGTGGTAACTGGCATACTTGTCTGTAAATATGAGGATTCACATTTAGCATATAGCAAGAAATTACATTTGTCTGGGATATGACAGCCTTAGGGCCTTCTCTAAGATCTATGACCTGTCCAGCCATGCATATTTGGGTATGTCTACAGTACCACACATGAGTTCCCTCCCATTGAGTGGGCTTTTAGTCTGACTAGGTAGCTATTGATTAGCCCCAAGATAAAAGTGCTACTACTGCCCCAATATAGTTTGCTGTGCTTGTCATTGTCATGTTTATTAGACCTTGAAGCTGGGGATGGACCATCGATTGATGTTCTCCCTTAGCAGTTTGCATAGTGTTCTCCAAAGCTATGAGAGCTAGACTTCAGGGAGGGTCTTACCTTCAGCAATAGGGTCTTACCTTCAAGTTCTGGGAGGCAATCAAGGGCTGTGGCAATAGCCTGTGTAATTTTGGGAGTCTCTTGGATGACCCTGGCCTACAACTTGAAGGGAGGTTTTTCCTGTCTGGCACATTTTCTTGTTAGGTAGCCTTCAGCTATACACATGGACTCATGTAAAGATATTGTATGTGTAATTTTTCAGTAGGCTTTTGAACTAATACATTTCTCCTGATTTTTCACTCTTGCTAAGCATTGTCTTTATCTATCATCTATCTATCTATCTATCTATCTATCTATCTATCATCTATCTATCTATCAATCATCTATCTATCTATCTATCATCTATCTATCTATCTATCATCTATCTCTCTATCATCTATCCATCCATCCATCTGTCCCTCTTTCCTCCCAATTTTTAGGACCCAATTTTCCCCATTTCACCCTTGATAATATCTGTCTCCTATGGTTCCCCTCTCTTGAGCTCCTTCTCCCCATTGACTCACATGGTTCCTTGTAGAACTCTCACTCTTCTCTCATTTAAATACCCCATTTTACCCCCTTTTGGTATCACTTGTCCCCTACTGTTCTCTCTTAGGTTCC